CATTCGCGTCGGCGTGTACCACCGGTGGCTCGCGCTCGCGTGCCTATCAGATGGCGTGTACCACTGCGCCGCCCCGTGGCTAGAAACGGAAACTTAGCAGCGCCGGCGTGAACGTGTTAATCAGAGTAACGGAATAACGTTAAAGTTAGACCAAATTTCCCCATTTTCAGCTAATTCTACGAAATTCATTTTGAAAAGCACAAAGTGTTGTTATTCTAAATATTTGTTTCCACATTCAAGAACATAAGTCTGGATAGAATTGCAACGTTAGATTAGGGTTAGCGATAGCAGAATATGTTTAAGAAGTGCATCTAGCGCAGAGATAGTACATCTACGGTAAACAATGAGATTATCATTTGCCGTGGTATCATTTGTACCATTTGATAGATTTATCGCTATATTTCCCGTTCTATCTGCAATTAGCAAACACGTCCTTGTTAGTTAATCAGGTGCTACTAGGAAAGCGATATTCGTTTATAGTAGTTGTAGTATAAAAATTTAATTGACAACTTGTTTGCTTTGCAGTAAAAAGATTGAAAGAAATATATTTCGTATCGCTTTTTTATCAACTTTATTATCGCGACGAACATTTGCAGCCGATATTGCACGCCTTTTGTTGTATCAGCGATGCACTGCAGCGTTTCTCGGAAATCGTCTTTAATACAAGTGTCTAAATCCGCGTGCAATGAAAAAGGTGTCGAGTACACGTGAGCGACTCGAGCAACGATAAGCGAGTAACAGTACCACATTTCACGGAATTTCACGTAGAAGAGAAAACGTGAACGTCTTACGATTTGTCGGCTGGGTTACAGTCACGTGTGTGCACGCACGTGAAAGTGACGTTACGTCCATGCCTCCCTTATCGCTGTAATCTCGTCATTTTTTCGAAACGTTGCCCTCGATACGGAATCCGTGTCTTTTTACGTACGATCTTTCAGTTATCTCTGAATTTTTTGCGGGACGTTCCATAAAATAACATTATCTACCTACAATTTTTAAGTTTCTTTTACACAATCCTGTAGATTTTGTCGAGAAAAGTCCGGAAATGCTGGTGTTAAGGCGAGTAATCCACTAGTTCAGAAGTTATGAACAGTTAAAGGTGGCATTTTACCGTATT